GGGCCTGGGTTGGAAGTTTGGGAAGGAGGTAATTACTAAGTTCTTGACTGGACCTTGGTGCCAGGCCAGGGCTTGAAGGGAATCGTGGAAAATCACCTGTCTCCCTGCCCTCCTCCGGGGTTGGTTTGCCACATGGGATCCAGCAGCCTGGCTGGTTTGTACCAAGTGCTCCAAAGGCACAGGGTGTCTCTGGGCTTCCTGTTAGACCGGCCACAGCTGCTCAGCGGACCTGTCTCCTTACTTTTGGGGGAGGACCAACACTTTTATAAACTAAGAAAAAATATGTTTTGAATCTTCTCTAAGGATAAAACCCCCTTACACTACTTGCACCATTTGTATTTGAATTTGAGTTTAGGTTTAACTTAAACCCTTAGGCAAACAGAAAAGTGTGAGTGGGAGAGGATGGGAGCCCATAGGGTGAGCCTGTCTTCCCCAGTACTGGAGAAATCAATTAAGCTGACAACCCACTAAGGGAACAATGCCCAGAGATGAAAATGCCTTGTCTTTGGTCTGCTTTCTAATATACTTTGATTACAAATTTGATAGAAAATGTCAGAAAATAAATCTGAAGGGCTTCAGTGTTTTTTAAGTTGTCACGCAAATATGTAACAGGCACTCGTGCCTAGATCACAAGTCCACTGTGCCGTTTCAATGAGCCACATTTACAGTAGGGGAGAGGTTCCCCCCATCTAATATCATGACCGTATAGAGGGATTGGTTCATACTGGGAATGTATGTTAGACGCCAGTAAGAGTGACAGGATTATATGCAGAACAGCTTTTGAAGAACCAAAATTAATAATTAGATTTATAGAGAAATTAATTTCTTTATATGAAATATTGCTGCAAAGGAGTATGTGTCCCCAGAGTGATGCATTTGAGATGGAAGGGGAAAAAGAGAGGAGGGGGGAGGAAAAAGAAAAAGATGATTACATCACTCTCCTGTTCGAGCGCAGAATTAGCACAGAAGATAGTTCATCGGTAAAACACTGCAGAGATAACTGAAATGTCTTCGTTTTGCTCAGTTTTGTTAGACAGTAACACATTAAAACGCTCATTAATAATGTCGACAGTCTTCATTTCTATTCAGAATTTTTGTTGTTACTCTTAATAAGGTCTAGTTTAACTTTGGAATGTTTGACAGAGAAGGGAATTTTAACTCGACATTTTCTTTTTAGTATATTTGTGACAGTGTTAAGTTCTGAGTTTTAGTGAATTACAGAGGACTAAATTAAAGATCCAGAGTTCTCGATCCTTTTTGCTTTTAATACATTTGGGAGATACTTAAAGGCTGTGAAAAATAGTTTAAGTATATCATTTTGATGCCTTTGGAAGATCTTTAAGCTAAGGAATAACCAGGCTATCTATAAGCCCAGATGCACTGGGGATGGGGGTTGGGGGAAGCTCTGAGCTGCAGCATATCAGCTTTTGTCAACCTGCCAACAGCGGAGCATACCATGCGGCAAGGAGTAATAAAAAAGGAATGAGAAAACTCACTGCTGAAGGAGAACAGTCAAATTAAACACCTTTTCGAAGCGATGAGCATGTATACATTGTAGTTCCATTAAATGTGGGCTCTCAGTGAGGTCGGATTGTGCAAAGGCTGGTAAAGAGGAGAACTGATGAAGCAGGAGTGGTCTGGTGACATTTTTCTGACTTGATTGGCTGGGGTGTGTGATGTAATAGGTTACAGTGCAGCCCCTTATAGGTTTTAAAATGAATTCCAAGACACCATTACAAAGAAAGCCGGACTCTTTTCTTATAACTGAGCTCAGCCAAGGAAACTCTCGCACAAATGTACAACACTGTTTGGAATATGGAAGACCTGGATTTAGAATATGCTAAGACAGATATAAATTGTGGCACAGACTTGATGTTTTATATAGAAATGGATCCACCAGGTAATACTGCAGCATTATCGTAGAGAGCTAGTTAATTTTGTGGCTTTTTTAATTTTTGAAAGCTACTATCTAAGCTCTTTAGATTTGTTTCTCTTAATTTGTTTTGTTGATTAAAAATTCGTTTGATCCTAGCTTGAAAATTAAACAGATTGTTTGTGGAAGCAAGCAGATCAGGTTGTCTGTGGTAAATGCTTTTTTCTTACTTGAATGGATATGAATTGAATTCCAGTTTTTCACTGGTATCTTTTGTTAACCGTGTTCATTTGCTAGTTTGATTATATTGTCGTGCATATATATATGTATATATATATATTTTTTTTTTTAATTAAAGTGATGCATCCTTTGTGCTGCTTTTCCCTGTTGACAGTGGGTTAGAGAAAACTGTGGTACTTGACAGTGATGACACCTGGTACTTCAGAAAGCATGTGAAATGTAGCAGTGATTGCAACTCAGTTCTCTGTGACCTGCAACTGTTCTGAATCAGACGCTGACACTTTGCTTGCTTTCTCTTTTGTTGAGATATTATCATGAAAAAAAAAGTTGGCTGTCCATGATTTCATACTAGTCTTTGTAAAATGTTTTTTGATAGGCACCTGGAATCATTTTGGTACAAATTAAAATAGTGCTTTAAAACTCATCACTTAGAAGGGAGCTAAAAATTTTAGATTTATTCTGTTTCCTAGGTCGTTTTATTCCAATGTTAGCACTCACCCCAATTAAGAAAGTCAGGAACACTGCAGTCTTTTATTTGTCACCAATTCATATATGGATACCGATTTGACATTGAGGAATGGGGGTATGGTTTTTAATCAGTCCTGGCATTTAGAGCACAATTTATCCAACAGAATATTAACGTGGATACTAAAGAGATTTAGGTCACAGATGAGTTTCTTAAAGTGGCTTTTGGCAGAACAGTGCCTGAAATACTAAGATTAGAGAAACCCAATTTCTTCTTTTAAAACATACTGCTTGGAGATGAGCTTTTTTATCACCATGACAGCGTTTGTGGAGGACAGAGACCAAATTTGTCTTTTATAATTAAATAAGAAGAGGAAATTGAAGCCAGCTCATGTAATTCCTACTGCTCATGTGTTCATAAGTTTCTTACTTAAGATGGATTTGACCAGCATGAAACTTTAATATAACTAGAATCTAGAAGAAGAAAAGGTCATGACTCTGGATTTACTTTGAAATTTATTCACATGGCCAGCCCAATGTATTTGCAAGTCTCTGAGGTTCTTTCAGATTTTCTTTCTGTCTCTTTTCTCCTTCTTCAGTGTTATTTCCTTTTGAGGCATATTCTGCAAGATTTCTTTTTTAAAGAAAAGTATTTTCTGTGTTCCACGGAATTGTGAATTACTGCTATATATTGCAATTAGTCTTCTTTATCTCTTTTTTAAAAATAGAAATATCATTTATCTAAAGAATTTGAGTCCTAATTTGAAATGTTCCATTGTAGTTGGGATTGCCAACAACTTTCTTTTTTCCTCTTTCATCTGCAGCACTGCCACCTAAGCCACCAAAACCCACTACTGTAGCCAACAACGGTATGAATAACAATATGTCCTTACAAGATGCTGAATGGTACTGGGGTGATATCTCAAGGTAAGGCCATAGATACTCTTCATTTTCAGTAGATACAGAGAGTTTCAGATTAAGAGAAAGAAAAGCACCAGCTTGCTAAGTTCCATTTTTAGGATGTCATCCAACATAAGCATGAAGCATAGTTGGTTTCCTTCCAAGGAAGACCAGAAAAGTCACGGAGTGCTGGAGGACTGTGGGTGCTGGATGCCACAGGAAATTAAATACCCGAGAAGTTTCGTTACTGACACAGATGTCAGGGACGCGCCAGGGTGAAATGGCACTGCCTGAAGGCTGAGTGTAAATGCACTCTCTCTGTTTTACACAACTCTAAGAATTAATGTTACTGTCTTTAGCATAGTCACATAAAATGACATTTTTTTTTCTCTGCTTTTAGTGTAGGCGAGTGAGGGATTGGGAAAAACCTTTTTGGGATCACAGCGTTCGGTGCTGATTAGTCAGAGAGACTGAGGTATTTGGTTAAGAAAAATTTATAGAAACTTTATACCACAGCTATACCAATAGTGAAAGTGGACACTTTTTTTTTGTTAACTGCCATTCACCTGTTTATAATGGCACCGGAATTGATAATATTCCTATATAAATAAAGAAGAAAGGATATTAGTAGGCTGTGAAAATGCATTTCATAAACATAAATCTATTGTGAGCAAGAAGTATATGGGAACTCATTGTACTTTTTGCTTAATTTTGCTATGAATCAAAAGCTGCTTTAAAAAATAAGGTCTGTTGGAGCCAGCAGGTGGCATAGTGGCTAAGGCACTAGACTCCCACATAGCCAACCATAGTTCAAATCCTGGACCCAGCAGCTTGAAAATCATGCCAGGCTTGTGTGCATGAATACCCCAAATCCCAAGAATGGAAGAGAAGGGACTGCAGTGTGGCCATCTCCCCCGGAGGGGGGGGTTCCTCACTTTCCCTCTCTCTGTCTCTGTTGCTCTCTAACAAGTGCATGTGTTCTATGGCAAAAATCTTTTAAAAGTCTGTTTTAAAAATGTAAACCTGTGGTCACTAAATCCTTGAGGTGAGCATTGTCTCGAATTCTTTCCATTTCAGGGAAGAAGTAAATGAAAAACTTCGAGATACAGCAGATGGGACCTTTCTGGTACGAGATGCATCTACTAAAATGCATGGTGATTATACTCTTACACTAAGGTGAGTAGAGGAGTGTAGCTGAAATAGAGTGTTTGGATTGACATTAAAATGTATTTCTTTATTAGAAAAATTCAATACCATTATTTTTATATTTACAGGAAAGGAGGAAATAACAAATTAATCAAAATATTTCACCGAGATGGGAAATATGGCTTCTCTGACCCATTAACCTTCAATTCTGTGGTTGAATTAATAAACCACTACCGGAATGAATCTCTAGCTCAGTATAATCCCAAACTGGATGTGAAATTACTTTATCCAGTATCCAAATACCAACAGGTAATGAACACTGAATTACTCAAATTGTCATGACATTTAGACAAGATACTCTTAATACATCAGAAACATTCAGAAACAGATGGACAGAGGAATTTTATGTAATCAAGTTAGAAAAACCTTGTAATTGTGGTCAAAATATTATAATTTTATAACTGCTAAATAAGCTATCAATTAAAATTTTTTTACATTTAGTAGTTGTTATTTGATTAAATTCCTTATCAACCGAATTTGTTTTTTCTTTTTTTCCAATTTTTAATCCTTCTAGGATCAGGTTGTCAAAGAAGATAATATTGAAGCTGTAGGTTTTGAAAAAGTTACATGAATATAACACTCAGTTTCAAGAAAAGAGTAGAGAATATGATAGATTGTATGAAGAATATACTCGTACTTCCCAGGTGAGTTTTCTGTGAAAATTGGATCAAAAGTTCAGAGTTCTTAGTTATTAAAATCTAACACATAGTGGATGACAGGACTTCAAAACATTTCTGGAAAAATGTAATTAAAGTACAAGTTTATTTTTCATCTTAAAAGAAGGAGAATAAGAAAGGTTGAATTTTTGTGAATGAAGGAGGGAAGAGATGTGTTTTGTTTTGTTTTGTGAATCATTGTTATCCAAGCATAGTACCTCTGAACCTTTTCAATGATGCTTATTCGTATTAGAATAATAAATTAAGTTCATATGATGGCTGGTGGGTTGTTTTGAGTTTAAGTTGATTTAATATTAATTCCTGATTAGACAATTCTATTTCGATTGAAGTTAGTGATGACCAGAAGTTTCAGAGACATGTCTAATCCCTGAACTGGAGATTTACCCAGGGTATACTTGGCCAGGAAAGAGGGAGGTTACATTTTCTACACTGAGTTTTCAGAAACTTACCCCTGTTGGGCTATCATGTATCTGGGACCACCAGAGAGAGTAAAAGGTGACATGGATGTTAGAAACTAGAGTGGCTTTGAGAAAAATGAAAACTAGAAAAATGCCATGCAGTTATTTTCCGTAGATTGAGAAGATTTTCCAAAAGGAAATGTGTTTCTGTGGTACTATTTTAATGGGTCTTATGAATTTGAATTCCACCCTGCTAACACAGTACTTGCATGCTAGGTGATAATACATACCAGATATCCTGGTAGTGTCTTGCATGAGAAATTGTTCTATGAAAGATATGACATTGTCTTATGAAAATTGTGTTATAGGAAATTCAAATGAAAAGAACAGCTATTGAAGCATTTAATGAAACCATAAAAATATTTGAAGAACAGTGCCAAACCCAGGAGAGGTACAGCAAAGAGTATATAGAGAAGTTTAAACGTGAAGGCAATGAAAAAGAAATACAAAGGTTGGTGAACAGAGTGTGTTGGTTATCCTTGTACTAAAGATGACCTGAATTCTCTTAGCTTGTTTAAAGATTATCTCTCTTGGAAACAGCAGATGATGTAGTGATTATGTTGCTGGACTCCTACATAGTTAACCGTGGTTCGAATCTTGAACCCGGCAGCTTAAACCTCACACTGGGCATGTGTGCATGCGTGTGCCCAAGATCCCAAGAGGAGAAGGGATTGCAGAATGGCCATCCCCCCTGGGGGGTGATTTCTTGCTTTCCATCTGTCCAGTGAGCACAAGTGCTCTATACCAAAAATCTCTCTCTGAAAAAAAAAAAAGAGAGATGATCTGTCATTCTGTGTTTTGAGTAATTTCAAAATGAGGGGAAAAGAAAACATTCTTTCCTGAGGAAAACTGCTGAGAAGCCACAATAAAACTTCTCATAAAGTTCAGGGAACCCATATGACATACCCAAGTAATTCCAGATGCATTTCTCTTGCCTGCAGGATTATGCATAATTATGATAAGTTAAAGTCTCGAATCAGTGAGATTATTGACAGTAGAAGAAGATTGGAGGAAGACCTCAAGAAGCAGGCAGCTGAGTACCGAGAGATCGACAAACGCATGAACAGCATTAAACCAGACCTCATTCAGCTGAGAAAGACGAGAGACCAATACTTGATGTAAGTCTTGAACACTGTTCGTGAGTGACTGGAATTGCTAAAGTTCGGGCTGAGTTATTAATGCACATTCTTTCCAAAACTGTTTTTCAGGTGGTTGACCCAAAAAGGTGTTCGGCAGAAGAAGTTGAACGAATGGTTGGGCAATGAAAACACTGAGGAGTAAGTAGTCAGTAGAGATGGGAGATAGCAACAGATTTTTCTCATTTTAGGAAAACGCATGACTTGCTTTGTTTTTAGAACAAGTGAGGAATTTTACTGAGTTTGGAACATGTCGTAGGAGAAAATGTATAAACTCCGTGTCATTATCCAGAATTTAAAAAAGGAAAGTTTAGCTGAGGAGGACTTGGATTTATTTTTACACAAATGTTGCCAAATGATCCTCTCTGTCCTTAATGCTGTCCCTGAAAAGCTGAAAAGAAAATCTCCAAATATTTTTGGAACAATCAGAGAAAAAACAATTACAATGTAGTATGTTCTGAAGCTTTAGTATGTGTTTGAATTATTTGAATACTCGGCAGCCCTCCTAGACAATCAGTTTCCTGATCTAAACTGGATGGACGAGACTGTTTAATACCTTGCCCTCTGCCCAAGCACCTGAGAGTGGCTGCTGACTGTAAAGCAGAAATAGCCTCTTTGTCCTGGGGGATTGCACTGGAGGCTAACACAGGGAAAGGAAAACTCAGGTCAGAAAGTCAGGGCTGAGTCAGACAGGTGACAGCTGGTCTGACTTGCTTGGTGGGGAGGGGCAGGAACAAGGTAGACAAGACAGAGGACCCTGCCTAAGCGAGGCCATGGGGCAGGCGGGTGATTCCTGCATTCACTTGGCACCTTCTCTCCTGCCTACCTAGCCAATATTCCCTGGTGGAAGACGATGAGGATTTGCCCCACCACGATGAGAAGACGTGGAATGTCGGAAGCAGCAACCGAAATAAAGCTGAAAACCTGTTGCGGGGGAAGCGAGATGGCACATTTCTAGTCCGGGAGAGCAGTAAACAGGGCTGCTATGCCTGCTCTGTAGTGTATGTATCTGCAGCACCTCTTTTTTTAAAAAAAATAATAATAACAACATGTCTTGAGAAGATGTTTAATTGATTCATTCATTCATTCATTTAGCTTTGGGGGCAGGAATTTGAAAAAGTTCAAGTTTTGAAGACTCTTGTGGTACAAGAAAGCAGAAGAAGAAAGACAGAAAGAAGTAATATTGAAGTCTAGCTAGGAGAATCTTGTTTGTAGGATCTAATAGGCCATTTGGTTGGAAGGACTAAGGTTTGGGTTTCAATTCGGCAGCTAATTCATCATGAGAAGTCTTTCTTTTTTTGCTTCTTCTTCTTTCAAATGAGAATAGCTATGTCTGCTTTTTTTTTCTCACCCCCTGCCCCAGCCTCCCAAGGCTAATTTCGTTAAAATCTAAGGTAATTCATATGAAGAGAATACCACCCACAGGAAAGGGGAACAGGTGAAAACAGTAAGAAAAATGAACCTGCTCACTGTGAGCACTGTCTTTAAGACAGGTACATCCAAAGGGAAACACATTTCTGCCATGGGATATATTTTCTTTCTTTTTTTTTTTTTTTAAGAGGTTTTTGCCTTAGGGAGAGTGTGCTTACTGGAGAGACAGAGAGAGACAGAGACAGAGAGAGGGAAAGTGAGAAATCAGCTCCCGGGGCGATGGCCACACTGCACATATGTGTGTGACTTTCAAGCCACCAGATCCAGAACTTGAACCACGGTCAACCACGAGAGAGTCCAGCAATGTAACTGATATGCCGTATGCTGGCCCCTACGTATTTCTTAATAGTTTGGTGAGTCCTTTGAAAAACGAGTTTTGGATCACAAATGTCACCATTTTCAGAAAAGCACACATCCTCTAGTAGGTCGAGGTTCTAAAAGTGTGTCATAATCAACCTCCATTTAACCAGAGTGATATTCCTAGAGGGAAGAAGGGATGAGAAGAACTTGAGTAACGACAAGGGACCGGGAGATTACAGAACAAATGCAAAGGCAGAGAGCTATGTAGACATTTCAAAGGTAGCCTGGAAGAAGGAATTCTGTTCATTATAGTGGTAGTACTAGTAACCCTGCTGGCTATATGGCAGTCCTGATAGTGTCCTCGTTCCTCATGGTGACTGGAAGCCACCATCTGTTGCATGCTTACTGCATGCCAGACATTCTATCCTGCACATTGCAAACATGGTCTCATTTCAGAGTAACCCTAGCATATCCATATTACCAATGTCCTCCTTTTAAATCATTTTAAAGATGAAAATACAGTGGTTCAGTGTAGCTGGGTTGCCTGCCTACCAACTAGCCAGTAAATAAGAGACCGTCAAGAGTCTAGCAGAACTGCAGGCTGTCTGCCCAGACTGAGCCTGGCTGGCGAAGCACACTCTTCCACGGTGATGATTGTATTCAGAATGCCTTACAGAGCTGGGAGTGGTCCCGGACAAGCCTCTCAAGATTGTTGTTGTTTCTCTCCTCTCCAGGGTGGACGGTGAAGTAAAGCACTGTGTCATCAACAAGACGGCGACCGGCTATGGCTTTGCTGAGCCCTATAACTTGTACAGCTCTCTGAAAGAACTGGTGCTACATTACCAACACACCTCCCTCGTGCAGCACAATGACTCCCTCAACGTCACACTAGCCTACCCGGTATATGCACAGCAGAGGCGATGAAGCGCTTATCCTCTGATCCTTCTCCTGAAGTTCAACCACCCCGAGGCCTCTGGAAAGCAAAGGGCTCCTCTCCAGCCTGACCTGTGAATTGAGCTGCGGAAACGAAGCCATCTGTCTTCAGATGGGACTAGAGCTTTCTTTGACAAAAAAAGAAGTAGGGGAAGACCTGCAGCATGCAGCCTAGGGCTGTGTGATGAGTTTCTAATCTGGAGTGTTCATCTTCCTTTCTTTTCTTTTCTTCTTTTTTTATTTTTTTAAAAGAAGTATGGTTTAATTTAAAGCCACAACACACAACATGAAGAGAAAAAGAAACGCAAAAATCTCTGCGTGCAGGGACAAAGAGGCCTTTAATCATGGTGCTTGATAATGCTTTCTGAAGCTTTACCAGCTAAAAGTTGGGACTTTGGAGACCAGAGGGTGGATGGGGCAGAAGAGCCCTGGCCTGAGGACGCTTGGTCCAGCCTGGTTTAGCCTGGGTGTTGCTGTGCACGGTGGCCCAGACACATCGCACTGTGGATTATTTCATTTTCTAACAAATGAACGATATGTAGCAGAAAGGCACTTCCGCTCACGAGGGACACTGAGAGAACATCAGTTCGTCTGTGTGTTAAGAGGAAATTCTGTCCTAGCGAAGTGCCAGAAAGTGTTTTCTTTAAACTTCTCAAAACAAAAACAAAAACCTACAACACGAAACAACCCACCAACAGAAAAATTGAACTGAGAAAACAGGACTTAAAGTGACATTCAGTATATAAAATATGTAAATAATATTTGATGACTAACTATCAAATAGATGGATTTGTATCAATACCAAATAGCTTCTGTTTTGTTTTGCTGAAGGCTAAATTCACAGCGCTATGCAATTCAATTCTTAATTTTCATGTTATCTCAGTTTTAAATGTACCTTCAGAATAAGCTTTCCCCACCCCAGTTTTTGTTGCTTGAAAATATTGTCCCTGATTTTTTGTTAATATTCATCTTGTTATTTTTATTCTCTTTTTTTTTAAAGAAATGTACAGGATGCCAGTTTAAAAAAAAATGGCTTCAGAATTAAAACTATGAAATATTTTACAGTTTTTCTTGTACAGAGTACTTGGCCATTAGCCCAAGGTTAAATTTTGGACTAAATGTTTTGTTGGGCAGTGCCTGATAAGCTTCAAAGCTGCTTTATTCAATAAAAAAAAAAAGAAAGAAAGAAAAAGATATATGAATATGACAAAGTATCACTGAGTCCGACAATGTTGTTTTAAGACTCTTAAAATACGGTACCTGGCAATGTTTGTTTCATAAAGAATTGTGAACTTCTTGAATCTAGGGAGGGGGGGTGTAACAGGTGGGTGGTGGGGGGATGGCAAAGGTTTTATGCACTTTCTCTTTCTCATATTACAGAGAAATAGTGGATAACTGCACAGCAAGTCGCTTATACGTTAGTCCTTTCCCACTTGGATTCGCTAGTTGTTATCAAGTAGTAACAATTACAAACCTGCTGTCAACTCTAACACAGCACAGCGGGTCAGGTGTTTCAGTTCTCACAAAGTGCTGAGCGTTTTTGGGTCCCTGGAACAGAGCTCACATGTGTTTGGAACACTGGTTTAAAGGTATAATCTCTGCATTTAGAAAAGGTGTCTTTGTCTTTTTAACATTAGGCTCTCATGATGACCAACAAACATTCATTTTTTTAAAAAACCACGATCTGAAAAAAATATTTGTAGTTGGCCGTTTGTCATTTTCCCAGCTTTCCATTCAATTAAGAACCTAAAGCAAATAGATACGATCGTACCATTGCTCCTCTGGGCTGTGTAGAGCTTGTTAGTCATGGTCATCGCAGGAGTCCACATGACGGTCCTTCTCATTCATCCAAATAATTGCATGTGTTCTACTTCACTGTGGGAAAAGGAAGGGGTCGTTAGCATCATCTTCCCATTTAGGATGAGAGAGCGAGAGGACTCTCCCTGATTTACATATGCAAACGCTGTTATGTTCAGTAGGAATTGTACATGTGTTGAAAGGGATAAAGGCTAATTATAATCATGGTCACTACCCTGGTAGATTAAACGGGAATCTTGAAATTTCAGTTTCCCTTTCTCAACCTTAGATTTACCCACAGTTTTAGTTCTCTTTCTTTCCAGTACTAGGATAAGGGTTTTTTGTTTGTTTGTTTGGGATTTTTTTAATGTTCTTTCAAAAAGTTTTTTTGAAAGGATTTGTCTAGCAGCTGAGTTAATCATCTGTAGAATGTATTATTTTTCCTCTTTACATGAAGTTACTCATACTCAATAGCAAAAGTCGGTCTTAGCAGCCAGACCGTCAGCCTCAAACTTGACCATTACTGACCTACCCATCTCTCTCATCATCAGACAATTGATGTCCCTGGTTTTAGTCTGTGAATGTCTTTGCTTTCAGACTTCTGGTAGTAATATCTATCCACATCACACAGAAATCTAACAGTTAATTAGTTAATAGTAGTTTATAAACTAGATTTGTGGCTTATTTTTTTTAGCACATCATGTATACTATTAAATAGAATTTTCATTTAATTTCTACAATATAAGATCTGAAATCAGATGTTTCATTAAAAGCTACAGTTTAATATCTTGGTTTCAACACTTTACAAGATGACATGGTATCTGGGCACTTGCCTTATTTTTCATCTCACAAGCGTAAGTGCAATAGGTTTTTCATTGAACAGCAAGGCAGAATTCACTGTTCAGATAACAGTTATACCGTACCTTACCTTTTCTGCCAAATGCCTTTTTGATTGCAGCGTAGTGTGCAATCAGCTCTTCCAGATGTTCGACCAGCAAGGCTCTTTGGATTCAAGCAGATAGTCATCTCCTGACTACGTCTGAGTGGCTCACACGAGGGTGAATGGATTCAGCAGAGGCACTCCTGATACGTGATTGTATCCATGCATCAGTTTTCCCTGTCCAGTGTAGCATCCTTAAGATAAAGCCAGAAGCTAAGCTGCAGAGAGGCTGTGATAGGGCTGTAGAATGGGAGCATTGGGACCTCATTACACACAGGAGCGATCATAACCATGAGAAAAGGCAAAAAGCATGTGTTTGCAACATCTGACAACTTCATGGCCCTTGATATATGTATATATGTATATGTGCATGGACTGTGTTTCCAGTACACCTTTCAGCCAAACTAGATCCACAGTCGTTGGGTTCAAGTACATAACAAGCAAATGTCTAGTACAATTCTTGTATAAGTGTATGGGTCGTTTTTCTCCTTGGAGGTTGTTTTGTTTGTCTTATAGAAGTGAAAACTGTTTGCAAGTGAAGTGAGAAGTTCATAATTCTTTGGCTTTTTTCTTTTTTTAAATATTACTCTCTTTAGGAAACTGGTCTGGGTGACTCACTTAACTTGGAAATCCTCGTTTTCAGTGTGTCATGTCAAGTCAAATGTGTTTATGTGAGCTGTCACTGTGGGGAACCAATTGCTTTGTCATATAGCTGGTTATGAGCTAGTAACGTGTTTGGGAAGTCCTACTGATGTTCCTTATTGGGAGAAAAAGATCTGCTGGTTTTAACAACTGTGCTTTTGCTATGCATGGTATCCAAGTCAGTTGGAAAGCAGACCCTGATACCTGTTTGAGTTTAGGGTCATTTAAGAAAGGGGCAGTTTAAAGCACAATGCCTCACATGGGACAACGTTCCAAAATGCCAGATTCTTATTTTTTAAAAAATCAAGTTTATAAAACCCTAGTATCATGGGTGGGGAGGACATAGAATTGGGTTCATTGGAAAGACTATCCAACTTGACATTAAACTTGTCACCATGAGATAGCATTAGCTGCCCAGGATGCTGCTATTTAAAGAAAAAAAAAACACAAAACAAAAAAAACTCATTTATACGTGTGTATTTTTTAAAGCTACAATCTGTTCAATGTTTTTACAAATCTGTTTATATGACATTGTTAAAATAAAGTTGGTCTTTTGACGAGAGGGAGGATGTCATGGTCAATTGTAATTTTGCCTTTACAAGGCAACTGGGTTCGGGGGGTGGGGGGAGTGTGCCTCCTTGACATTTTGTTCAAGTTATAGATTCAGTGGAGCTATGTCTTGTTGTTTTAAGTTGCTTTAATGCATTGTATTAGGTCTTCAAACAGAATAAAGGTTGTTTTGAAACTTAAGTTTTGGTTTAAAGTTTCGGTGCTCATCTGAGAAATACTTCTAAAACTGCACTCTAGGTTCTTTTGGTTTATAAATGCGGCTGCTATTTCTGCCGTCTCCCCCCTGTTTTCATCTTGTTACATTATCTCATTTTCATAAAATGAGAAGAACATTGAGAGGTCACAGGAACAACAGCTCAATGTTATTTATTTCATTTCACTATGTCCTTAATGATGAAATGCCTCTTTCCTTTCATGGTGCATTCTTCCTCCACCGTTTTTCTCCATGCCTTGAGAGTCAACCTAGCAACTATGGCTTGGTGTCTGGTTTTGTCTCTGTCTTAGGTCTGTGTGTTTTGAACACTCACAGTACAAACACAGCGGTGTGACATGGGGTAAAGGCAGGGAGCTAAGCTACATTCCAAATGCTGGCCCTGCATTGTGTTACCCCGTGAAGATGAACAAGCCTCACTGTGAATAACTGTCCACTATGTCTTATTGCTGAGTGAACTTTGGATGATACCACCTTGCATATATATGGCCATCAGAGGTCCAGTGAGGGTCTTAGACATGAAGAAGGTGGAGATGAGAAGAGTTTGTGAATAATTACTGACGTGACAACAATGACTAGTATTTGCCAAGTGTGGCAGTAGCTGAAATTAATTTCATGCTTTTCCTTTGCTCCATTTTCTATCACAGAGAACAACATTCGATGGGTTTTCTGCTCTCTGACTTCTAGGTAGTGAGTCTGTTCCATTGCTAGAGCTTCTGCCAGGTAGCCTCTCACCTGAATCTGAGCAACCCTTCTCTCTGCCTCTCAACTGCGGGCTCTGGTTGTGTAGCCTCCTATTCTTACTCTAGCCCCCAGGGTGGTAGCAGCTTTTATGCTGTTGCTAAACCCCTGTCCCTTACCAGCCCCTGTTTGGTTTCTGAACTCTTCCATCCCCTGGAACTCTTCCATCACCTGAGTAACTCACTCTCTTTATTCAATTCTGACCTAGAGTATTTTCTTGTTCCTGACTCACCTCTAATTGATAACATCACATGATTATTATCCATTAAACTCTTCATATGCTTTATCAGATTTAATCTTTCCAAAATATTACGAGTTACAAGATATCTCCATGCTGCAGATGAGAAAACTGAAGCAGAGATGTTAATGACTTGCTCAGGATCAGGAAGCATACCAGAGCCCATGGAGAGTCCTTAGGCCATCTGACTCAGACATTGCTCATCCCCCTGTGCTGTGGCCTTCCCATGGAAAATGCTCCAGGGATGCAAAGAAAAGCTTACTGTTGGAGTAACAGTTCCTGCTGGGAGCTAACTGTGGAGCCCCTACTGTAGACAGTGCACAGGTGGCTGGTGATGAATGACAGGAAACAGCGTGGGCCTGTTAGGCTAGCAGATTCCAGAGTGTGGTCCCCAGACTAACAGCATTAACATCAGCCTCACCTGCAGATCTGTTAGTGAAAATTCATAGTCCCCACCCCTGACCTACTAACAGTGTAACTCAGTGTTGCCCAGCAATTCGTTTCAACAAGCTCTTGGCTTTAGTGCATACTAAAGTTTGAAGATCACTGCTTTAGATCAGCTGATTCTTGGAATGGTGCTGCTAGTATTTTAATTAAAAGCCATTATCATTGATTGATATTAATATGTTATTCTGTGATAAAATTTACACTTCTAGTAGACTCTAAAGGAAAGAAAATAGACCAATTGGCAGTTCAGATGATCCAGTCTGGTCATGGCTCTTGTCTTCAAGCAGCTATAGTATTTTGGTCAATTCAGGTCACCTGGTAGGCCTCTGCTCCTAATTTGTGAAATAAAAGTGTAGATCTGAATGGCTTTTGGGACTCCTAGAGCTTGTGCTTGTGTTTGGATGGAATGAAACTACTGAATCCCTCAATTCTCCGTTTATAGTTTGGCCACCATTGCAAGCCACAACACAATTGGCAACTGCAGACCCCTCTGGAAATGATAAGCACCAACTCTCTGTATTGTCAGTGATGATGGCCTAGTGAAAGTGTTAGCAGAGCTGGGTCCACGTGTCTTAGCTACACTCCAGGTGAATCAAAACTGACAGCCCTGCCCTTGACAGTGTGGAGAGAAGTGTATTTGGAAACAACACTGTCCATATAGCTAAAGCAGGAGGCTAAAGAGAACTAGACCCACCGCATTTTCTGGGGCATGATAGGAAAGTGGGTAAGTATAATCTGTTAAAACTGATAAAGCATCAATCCAACTCACTTTAAAAACAAAGTAAAAACAAATTGTCTTTTTCTGAACTTAGCCCTTAAAAAGTCTATATCTAAAAATAAGAATCCCATTGTAATAGCTTAAGCGTAAATGAATAATTGTTCACTATCCAAATTTTGGATTATTTTCTCAAAAGATAACACTTTGTAATCTCCAGCTTGGTGTTGATGTCATAAATCAGCTCAACATAAAACCGCAGAGATGCTTTTGGCGGGGGTGGGGGAGGGAGGAAGAGGATAAATGAGTAACCACCAACGTGCTTGTCTGCATTTTGCTTCCCAGAAGGAAATGTAGCAATTCCCTTCTCTCTTTTGCACTCAATCACAACAGTCTGAAGCATGCCCTGGCTCGACACATATTAAAGCCTATAGTGCCAGAGCAGGACAGTCAGCCTCTAGCTACCACCACTCATCAGATTTAGGACAAAGTTACTAGATAGCTCCATTCATCACCAAGACTGCTTCATTAGAATTATGGTTTTGACTGGAAAATGCACTGTGCATTGTATGACTAACCCACTGAAACCAATTTATTTATAGAGCTCTCATCTCAAAGCCCAGTGATTTATAGTCCAAGCCATCACAAACCAAAAACGTGGATGAAGTTATCACAATGGAGGAAATGTGCTAGTAACATTATTTCATGTCGACTCTAGTCCAAAGAGAGGCCCTATGTATTCCACATGGTTCAGAGCTTTAAATACTTTTGTTGACCATGGTGATGATCTATTTCTTGGGAACCATGAGGACGAGAGATCCAATGAGAAGTCCAATTTATTGATCTATTTGACAAAGCTTTAACCGAGTACCTACAATGTGCTGGACCCTGTACTTCCATCTGGAAATCCTGTGATGAAGAAGACAGATGGCTACCTTCAGAGATTTGGGTTAGTGAGGATGAACTCCTACTTGCCATCTTTCATGATCAGAGATATATTAGGTTGTCAGGAAAGTCATGATCTATTGTTCTGCTTTTCTATGCAAAAATGCATCATAACTTTCCCGACAACCCATTAGTAAGGGGCCAGGCCTCTGGTCTGGTGGTTAAAGGAGCTGGATCTCACACAACTGATAATGGCTCAAATCCTGGCCTTAGCAACTTGAAAAACATGTGGGGTGCAATATGTACATGCCCCAAATCCCAACAGGATGAGAAAGTGGAGGAGAAGGGACTACAGCATGGTTATATCCCATGCTTTCTCCCTCTCCCTCTCTGTCTCTTTTTCTCTCTCTGATGAGCATCCATGCCAATTGGCAACTAATATAGATAAAAATATTTAAAATAAAAAAAGAGGAATGAAAAGCAAGCTTTAGAAGGACAGAAGGGGAAAGCTTAAAAGAGGAGAATACATTTCAACTGTTACCTGGTCTAGAAAAATGAGCCCATATGTTCCTGGTGGTTACCTCACCTCAGCTTTCATGGGAGGGTGTGCTGCTAAAAGCAGACCATTATACCTTTTTACTACCACCACCTTTCAGGGGAATGTCAAGTACTGTCAAAGGTATTATCTCCATTC